CCTAGAACAAATCTGTCTCTTTTCTGTATGGATCTGGGGTCCATCCAGGCTGATGTTGATGGTGGTCACTGATAATGATACCACTTAAGAGAGAACACTCCCAGAAGCCCCTGGTAATAGCAAAGAGACCATAAGGACATAAAGAAGCTGGTAATGAGACAGAGGCGGCATGGCCATTTGATTTTATAGTTATATAGCATCTAGGTATCATCCATGAAGTTTGCTCTGAAATATGCAAAGTCATGCTGAGCGTGGACCCCAAATCACGACTCACGGAGGACCAAGAAAAGCATTACTTTAGAGTCAAGGTCATTAGTTACATAGAGTGGACAAAGCTTTTGTATTTTTGTTTTGTGTTTGAGCTTCTTGAAAAGAACTGCTAACCTGATTGCCTAGTTAGCCAGAGAGTCTAGTCTGAGAAGGAGAACACCAGAGTCTGAAAAAGCGAGGTTTACCTGAAATTTTCCCAGGCAACCGGGGGGTGGGGGTGGGGGGCTACAAATTATTGGGAAGTCACCTGAGAAACACTAGAGCGTTCTATAATAAGAACCCTTGAGATGAGCCCTTTTCTAGTTGGTTTAGAAGAGGTTTAGACGAGGTAAATTTGGGCAGTGCATTGAAATCTGAGTAAGAATGAGAGATGAGCGTGGTCTGGGCCCCCTCTCTGCTTTTCCTAGGTGTGAAATGGGGATTTTAACATCTCCTGTCTTAGGTCTGTATTGTGTGAGGAAGGACATGCTTTAGAAATGTGTCAACATGTACCCATTGAGTCAGTCACTAATCTAATGCTACTGTAATCAGTTAATATGTTCAGTTACATGTGACAGAAGCCCCTTCCCACCAAACGACTGAGAACAGTGTCGTAAACAAGAGAAGAGGCCTCTCTCTTACAGAGAAGTCCGAAAACATCCCTCAGAGGCTGCCATGGATGGGTCCTGCTGGGAGGAACCCAGACACTTCATCTCATTTCTCTGTCATGTGGATCTCCACCCAGAAGAAGGTCATCACCTGGTCTGGAACCCCAACCTTGGTATCAACATTCCAGAATTTGAGACAAAGAAAGGAGAAGAGAAAAGACACATCTCCTTTCCAGAAGTACACTTCCTCAGCTTGGATCCACCATTTTCACTTATATCCCATTGGCCAAAACATATTCACGTGGCCTTGATTCCAGATGGTGTGTGCCTCACTAAAATGAGGGGTTCTGCCACGGAAGAAGAAAAGGTTGGAGGGTCGCTAATGCCACTAGTGGTTTCTACCCCACTATCAGAAATGTCTTTTATTTTTCCTCAGAAGCTCAATTAAATGACCTCTGGGGGTTCCTTTAGGGAAGGGTGTATTTACTGAGGCCTCCCATGTGCTAGGTGGTATAGTGGGTTATTTGAAGACTATGAAGATGGAAGAGACATTATCTAATCTCAAGGTGTTTACAATTCACTTATTCAATAAACATTTTATAAAAAGCTTCTATGGACTAGGTATGTGCTCAGGGTAAAATATAGTCAAAAAAAGATGTATGGTGTTCACCCAAAGAAATAAGAATAAATGAAAAAATAAATATAATAGAAAAATTTAAACATGAAATTAAAAGATTGGAAAAGAACAAAACCAAAAAATTTTGGTAAAACAGACCTCTGAAAATACTGGTCAAGACATAAGAGAGAAGATGCAATAAATAAAGTGTGGAGTGAAATAGAAATAACTGTAGACAGAGCAAAGATCAGAATAATAAGCACATTATGGATCATACTAGACGTAATAATAGATGTAATGGATACATTTTAAAGAAAATAAGTGCCAAAATTGGTACAAAAAAAAATTAGAAAAGATAATTATACCAGCAAGTATTTTAAAAAAATGGAATGGTAACTTCTTATGCCTCCAAAATTCAGGCTCAGATAGGGTTCTTTTCTTTCTTTCTTTTTTTTTTTTTTTTAGAGAGAGGGATGGGGTGGGGAGAAGGGAGAGAGAGAAAAAGAGGAAGAGAAAGAGACAGAGACAGTGCCCAGCACATAGACACCTCTCAGTAAAATCATCTTCCTCTTTCTCCTTACTGGTGACATGTCTGGTCAGAGCTGCTCTGGATCCAGTTTACATTTCAGAGCATAAAGCCATCCAACTCCTTTGAACGCCCTTCTTGCCTACCAATCCCCAAAGTTAAGCTCAGACATTGGATTCTTTGCCCTATATATCCATCAGTCGGTTGCCTCCCACGTGCACCCTGACCAGACGGGTGATCTAACCTGCAAACTTTTGGTGTGATGTACTGGATGACCATCCCACCAACTGAGCCACACCAGTCAGTCCAGGCTCAGATTGTTTTAAAGTTTCATTCTACCAAACTTATAAGGAAGAGTAAATTTCTGTGTGTGTGTGTGTGTGTGCGCACGCACACACACACATATATAATGAAGCATATGACATTATATATTTATGTAAATAAAATTCCACGTGCATAAAATGTATGTACTTTATAATTTGCATATAAACATTAGAACCTCATTAACTTCATTAGAGTGGCAGCCAGTTTGGGAGTGGGGAATAAAGGGAATAAATGCAAGCATAAATGAATGAGTGAATGGAGAGAGACCATGCATGAATGAATGTGTTGTGAACTAGGAGTATGGTTGACTCAATTCTCTAACCTAAGGTCTAGTAGAATAGAAGAAAACAAATGATCATATTATGGTCAGTAGAGCTTACAATTTAGTAGAAGGAGATAGACATATTCATTTAAAAAGTGGAATAAAGTGATTTAGATATTTTAGAACAATTCTGCTCATGGTAAAGTAGGGGACACAAATCATGGTATAGTAACTTCTTCCTGAATGGGAGCTAGAGAGGTGAGATTGTTTAGGAGATAACCCTATACTAATGAGGGAGATAGGCATGGCATAAATCAAAGAATTCAAAGAATGATAGAAAAAAATTAAAGGTGAATATTGAAAATATATCCAATGGGACTGCAAGGCAAGGGATGACAATCCTGTATAGGGAGAAGAAGACGTCCTGATCCCCGAGCTGAGCCCTCAGAGCTGGGCAGCCAACCCAGCCAGTCAGCCAGTCTGCCCACCTCCAGTTTCAGAAGATGCTGATGGTGGCTCCGGGCTGTCCATGGGCCCAGGTGAAAGCCCTGCACAACACACACCACACACAGTGAGTGTGACCTGAGAACCAACCAAACGATGAGCAACAGAACATAAAATTTCATTTTGCTTCCTCAACTAAGAGGTGAGTCCCTTTAAACCAGGTCCCCGTGCTGTTTGTGTGTGTGTGTGTGTGTGTGTGTGTGTGTATGTTTTAGAACAGTGGTATTTAGATTCTGCCTCTGAATTTGCAGATGTAATGAGATGATTTATCATGTAAAATTATTGCATGATCATCAAAAAGTAATGAAAGTTGTCACAGCCTCTCTTCTTAATGGTATTTCTCACTGACCTCCTTTCCCTCTACCCTGAAAGCGAGTCTAGGAGTCTAGCATGGAACCAAGCCAGGGATCTGACGCTGCTTAATTCACCCAGGCAGTCAACCATAAACACATTTTTCAGAAGTAAAGACAACTTCTGTAACTTTTTAATTAAAGCGTAAAAGCCCTTATTAAAGGGACATAAATCACGGAGAAACCTGTAAATCGCTGTAATCTTCTGTGGCACTGCACATGTGTTTCCAGCTGTGTTCACTCAAGCTCAGAGGCAACGGGGTCTGGAGAGGTCTGCGCTGCTCTCGGTGGTCCTGGCGCAGTGACCAAGCAGGGCCACGGTGGGTTCGCTGGCCTGGAGCCCGCACGGGTGCAGAGAGGGGCCAGATGAGCCTGGAGCAGGAGCATTCAGCCCTGTTACTCTCGTAACCTCAGGTCACATTCAGTCTTTGATAGATCAGGATGACAGCTGTCTGCAGCATATAGAGGGACAAGTCAAACTGCACCATGAGGAAACAGACAGATGGGGATGTTGGGAATGTACTGTTTCCTGATTTTATACTGATTTGGGCTTCAGGAACAAGGTAGCTCTTTGGACTCTACTTTGAAACAGCTATGGTTCATCCACCTGGATCTGAGGACTCAAAACTGAGAGCATAGCAGCCCCCACTCTCATGGAGCTGTCAGTCTGGCATAGGGGACTGATAGACCGATAAAGAATTAGTCCACAGTGTAACGATCTCACACAGAGGCTGCTGACATGCACATGATCGGGCCTGGCACCGTGCCTGGCACCATACCTGCCCCCACTCCCGCAATATTTGGGACATCTTGATCCTTCTTTCTCTGTGTAAAGATAGAAACAAAAACATCACATACACCTCCCACTGGTGTCTATTGTTCTATGAGGCATTGGACACAGCCCCTGGATGCTGGGGGTCAATGGAGGAAGGTAAGGGACTTGTAGGTCACAGAACCCTTTGACTGGTAGATCCAGTGTGGAACTCGAGGTGATGACCAGAGTCTAGAAGGGGACTGAGTCTCCAGGCCCCACGCCCAGTGAGGATATACTTGTCAGAGTAGAAATGTCACTGGATTAGACCAAGCATCTGCCAGCTTTCCAGGCCCTGGATGAGGAGCCTCATTCTCCCAGGGCTCGATGGCCATCAGTAGGGTGGATGTGCGGTATGGAGATCTGCATGGGGCCAATTACAGGACTAGCCTATCCACAGGGCCAGAGAAGAAAATGTCCCTGGCACATCCTTTCTAACATTTTGAGCTCTCCTTTTGTCAAAACCAAAAAGGCCTTTACTATAATTTAGAGAGAGTAGAAGGACCTTGCAGATTACCTGGCCTCATGGTTTTAAAAGTGCGCTGCCAAGAACTTCTAGGACTCTGAGGAAGTTCAAGTTCAGGTCTCAGAAAGTCACAAATCTTCTCCAACTCACTCCCCTTATAAAAGATGAGTGCATTAGCTTCCTAGAACTACCGGAACAAAGTATCGCACATTGCATGGCTTAACAGAAATATATTGTCTCACAGTTCTGGAGGCTGGAGGTCTGGGGTCAGGATGTCAGCAGAGCGGTGCTCCCTCTGAAGGCTCCACAGAAAGATGTATTCCAGCCCGCCCTCTTAGCTTTTGGGATTTCTTGATTTATGGCAGCATAACTCCAATTATGGAGACCATGGCATTTTCCCTGTGTGTGTGTCCACGTTTTCCCTTGTTCCAATATGACCTCATGTTAACGAATTACATTGCAACGTCCGATTTCCAATTAAAGTCACATTCTGAGATACTGGAGGTTACATGAGGTACATGAATTTTAGGGAGACACAAGTCAACCTGGACCAGTGGCAGAGGGAAGTGGGTTTGCCTCAGCTGGAACAGACTTGCCTGGGGCAGACACCCAAGCGCAGGTCCGGGTCGCTGATTCACGGTCAAGATATCTTCTCATTATTGCAAACTGTTTCCTCCCTGATGCTCAGACTACACGGGGAGCCAAGCAGGCGTTCCTTAGTCCTACTATAAGAGTCATTTGCCAGTTTGGGTGTGCCCATCATTCAACCTCTATTCATTAGCACCTATTTTCCTTTTGGGGTGTCCCCTATTGTGTAGCACTTTCTTGGTAAAAAGTACTGTTCCCACTCTGGGAACCAAAAGGACAGACCCTCCTGTCTCCAGTGAGCCAGGGTGGACACAAGACGTAGACTTAGCCCATTGGACCATCCTCCTGGGCCTTGTCCCTGAGTGAGTGATGCCGCGTATTATGAAGCAGCACCAGGTACATCACTCCTGCAGGGGGCTCCCTGGGCCTCCTCCTGATTCATGCCCCAGAACTTCCCACTCCTGTGAGTCCCTGAGGTCCTTCCACTAAGTCCCACTTCTGTTTGAGAGGCAGCACCTGTTTCTGCTACCTATAAAACAAGCTCTTACTGATGCACTGGGTGTTACCAGTTACCTGGAGAGTTGTCACTACATTTAGATTTTAGAAGGAATCAGGACCCATCATGCGACCCAAGAGATGAAGTAATGCCATTCTGTGGATGTTTTTGGACCCAGGTCTGAACTAGGACTTCAGACCTGTGCTCTGCAGGTGCCACTAACCCAACCTGGGTGGGGCAGGGTGAGCAGGGAGGGCGGGACGCCACCAGCCAGCTGTCACAGGCCACTCTATATTCCATAACGGCTCACACTGCATGTCAATTGTGCGCTCAGCAGCCTCACCAGTGGCAGACCACAGGGTCCAACTATTTTATCTTGTTAAAATTGAGCCCAAACAAAACAGATAAGCTCCATATCATCTCCCTGAATGAATCTAGGGACAGTTTATCTTCTGAGAGGTTTGCCAGGGTGTGATTTGTGACACCGTAAACATGTGTTGGGAGGGCCAATCTTACTAATTTAATTTGCTTTCAGATGTGTGCATGCAGGACCTTCTGTAAACGGAATTATTTGGAGTATAGCATCCAGGCAGTGATATACAGGGCACACCAAGGCCACGGGTTTCTGTGCGTGTGTGTGTTTTTCAGGGCAAGTAGGGGGTTTATTTTTGATTAAGTGCCTTAGCCTTGCTTTGGTATTTATCTTCCTGCGGCAGATCCAGTCACAATGTAATTCCATTAGCATTATCTCTCAATTCGTGTGAGAGGGGCTCCAGCCAGGACAGCCGCAGCGTAAAGGCCTACAGTGTTCAGGGGGCTTATTTCTTATTTCTTAGGCAAATCTTCTTCCTTTATCAGCAGCTCATTTAAAGGGAGCAAAAGGAGAGCGGTCAAATCATTAAAAGTGAGACTTTAACGTGGGTTTTTAAAGGCAAACCCCAAAGCTTTGAGGGGTGGGGAAAGGTTAAATTAAATACGTGAACAGTGCCTTCACAGCTAGTATAACCGATGGAAATGGATAATATTCAAGGGCTATATATATATATATATATATATATAGTCTTTATCAGTGTGCTTTTGATGAGAAAAGTGATTTCGATCAGGTGTCAGGACTCCTGGGTGTGTCCTAGCTGAGCCACTAGGTGACCCTGTGACCCTATTTCTCCACCTGTGCCCCACTCAGTCGTTGTCTCTTGCCTATCGCAGAGGTGATGCTGGGAGGAGGAAAAAATCTTAAAGAGCCTTGAGTACTTGCAAAGACAGATGCACTGGGTGTTACCAGTTACCTGGAGAGTTGTCACTACATTTATTTTAATTTTAGAAGGAATCAGGACCCATCATGCGACCCGAGAGATGAAGTAATGCCATTCTGTGGATGTTTTTGGACCCAGGTCTGAACTAGGACTTCAGACCTGTGCTCTGCAGGTGCCACTAACCCAACCCGGGTGCTAATGGGAGGCAGGGGTCACAGGGAGAAATGAATCGCACAGAAAATCCCAGAATCTCATTTAAGTTTTAACCTCCTCCGGGGGACGAGGGGCTTTACTTCAGGAGCTGCCAGTCCCCTCCCTGGCTTTGCTGCCCCTCCTCCGTGCCCTTGTTCACCCCTTCATGGAAGCGACCACCAGCTCCAAACATTCAAAAGCTAGACAGCAGGTGGAAAGAGAAGGAAATCCAGGGGTTGGGAGGCTGCGTGATAACGGCTCCGGGGGGCTGCGCGCATTGCACGGTGCTTGTAATCCTGTTTTCTGGGAGAGGGATTTGAGGCGAGAAAAGAGCACATGATACGCAGCACCGTGAGAATGGATTCAGGAGGGGCGGTGAGATGCCTGACCTTGCCATTGAGAATTGCAACCCTAATACATCTGAGAGGCAGCTAGGGGCCAGACTTAGTTGAGGGCTCCATCTACGCCCAGTCCTGGGCTAAGTGCTTTGTATGTAGTATGTTCCTTGAAAGGTGTTTCCAAATTGTTTTAAAAAACATCTGGACCCTTAGCAGTAAATTTTGTGAGCACTCCAAACACATGCACATGTATCTACGTGTAAGTTATCTAGACGCTATTGTTTAATGTATTGTGTATATTATAATATATGCTCAACTGTATGTATTTTAAAAAGAGTGAGAAAAATGAAAATACATAGAGGTTATAATGTGTACACTCTGCATCCCCAGAGAGTCTTGGAGGTATGCTAAGCGCTCACAACCCACTCTGCCAGTTTCTGTTCCTCACAGCCTGCCTGACAGGTAGGTATTGTCACTTTCCACCGAGTGCGACCCAGTGTGGCCAGCCCGGCATACAGAAGTGCTGTACGATTTCACTGGCAGAAGATTTCCCCTGCCACTTCTACTTCTCTCTTCTGGTCTTACATACAGTGGTTCCCCCGATCTACAGTTTCATTTTCCCTCGTTTTAGTTATCTGTGGTAAACCGCAGTCCAAAAATATTAAATGGAAAATTCCAGAAATAAACAATTCATACGTTTTAAATCGGAGGCCCTTCTGAGGCGAGTGATGAAATCTCACACCATTTTGACCCAACATGTCTCATCCCTTTGTCTGATTCTCCATAAATTAGATGCTCCTGCCTATTAGTCACTTAGGAGCCAGCTCAGTTATCAGGTTACTGTGGTGGTACAGCTCACATTTATTTTAATGTTTAATATTAGAAATGTGGGGGTCTTTATTTAGAAGTTTGGTCATGTTTTTGTGACCAGAAATATACCATAGGAACTTAACTCTTGTTTCTATCACTTAGCCTGAGTTAAGAGTGGTTTCATTATACGTTGTTTCGCTTAAAGTCGCCATTTCCAGGGACCTATCTGCGATGATTGAGTGAGAATTTATTGTCTCAGAAGAAATGGAGTACATATAGGGTTTGGTGCTAGCTTTGATTTCAGACATTCACTGGAGGGACTGTGAGTGCATGTATTCCCCATGGACGGGGCATGGGGGCCCTGGCATGATTATGTGGAGAGTTTGCTTGGAGCTGATTTTGACCATGAGGAAATGAGTCTAACAGCAAAAGGCAACTTGCTAAGGGTGAGGCACAGAGACCGGGTCTTTGATAACCTCACTGAGTCCCTGCCCTAGACCAGGAACCACCTACCTCCAGGCTATTAAATGTATTTACTGCTTAAGCAGCAAGATAGGTATTTTCTAATTTGCAGACAAAACTTCCTAACTACACAGTCTCCATTTCTACCATTGTAATCAGCATCTTCCATCCTCATTTCATCGCTTTGTCAGTTTCTTTCTGCTCCTCCATCTACCCAACTTTTATGGAAACAGGCTTGGTCCACATGGCATAAGAAGTCGTTTGACCCAAAGATCTTTCTCGAACTGTGCATTATTTTCCTATCTCTCTTCTGTTTTCTCTTTCCCGATTGTATTACTCTGTGTGGGTTCGGGTGTTTATAAGGGCTTGTTTCTTTCCCTCGCACGGTTCTGCCCACACCGGCCTGTTCACGGTTCCCAAAGCTTGTCTTCTTTGGAAGCAAGTGTCATTCCTCCTCTAGGTCCTACCTCAGGGCCCATGTACTGGCTGCTTCCTCTCCCCACATCTTTGCCTGGTTGGCTCCTTCTTGTCCTCAAGTCTCAGTCCAGATGTTACCATCCCAGGGATGTCTTTTCTAACCTGTGTACCTCCACCGCGGCAACACCATTTTTTAATTGTCTTCATAGAACTAACCTCTATCTGAAATTATCTTGTTTGTTCATGTAACTTGTTCATTCTTGCCTCATCCACAGTGCGTACTGCACAAGAGCAGGGACCTCGTCTGTCTCAAGTTTCATTGTATCCCCAGCGCCTAGAATGGCACATAGTAGGAGCTCAGAATATATTAATGGAACACATGGGTAAAAGAAAGTGTATAGGGAGCTCCCTTTTATGTTAGAGCAGATGCTGCCCAATTTATAAATTACTGAATAAAGCCAATAAGATCATTAAAAACTTTTTAATAAAAAAGAATGAATGAATGGAGGTGAAGCACCCACTAATGAGAGTCCCTGGTTCTCTGTTCTCCAGCAGAACATTTCAGGGTGTCTGAAATGGGGATACTAAGCCAAAGCGATCAGCAATTCTAAGCAAGTGCTGGATAAACATTGTACTCTCATTAACTTTCTATACTTTCATATTCTAACTTAGAAGTGTTAGGTCTGAGAGAGCCCAGGATCGGATACATGCAGACATGTGATGAGACAATGGACTTCCCCTGGAATTTCTCACAGATCAACGTGCCAGACACAGATACCGGCTTCTTCTCCCTTAATCCACATACCCCCACACAGATACTGACTTCTATCCACATACCCCCGCCCATCCCCTGCAGCAGAGAATTCCTCAGCTCATGTCCCCGCCCCTCACCCAACTGCAGTATTAAAAAAGCGCCCCTCTCCCTGTTGGCATGAATCCAGTGAATCCACGTGCCCTCTCCCTGGGGTATGTGGGTCTCCTGGGGACGCAGAAATAAACCTTTTCCTTTCCTTTCTTTTCTGATTCACTGGACTCTTTATTTCTTGCACTGCCTCCTGAGCCACCTAACCTAACAAGAAGAACATATATTTACATTATTATTCTCATTGTGATGAGACTTATTTTGAAAACATTCTAACCACAAACACTATTAATAAAAAATAATAGTTGTAATTTAAGTATAGTATTAGGATCTAAATCAGGAAGAATTGCATTGTGAATTGACACTCCCTCCCTTATAACCTCCCTAACTGGCAGAAACCTATACTCGCCTAGAGAACATATTGCGGCCCTTATTTGTTTACTGTTTTGTTCCCCATTCACCTGAAAACCCCTGAGGGAAGGGACTATGCCTGGAACAGCTTCCATCCAAAGCACAGTGACATATGGCAGGTACTTCATAAATGTTTTTTGAATGATGATCCTAATTTAATGTGCGTTACACAAGTATTCCCTTGGCATAGTTCACTCTACAATTACAATGACAATAAAAAACCCCCACAAACCTTTATAGTCCCATGAAATTCTGTGATATCTGGGTTTGGTCTTTAGAAGATATCTTTATCATTGTTACCATCATTATCATTTCATTCTTTCTTATTTTCTTAAGATGTATTCTCTCTTCTCATAGTTTTATGCCTGGATAAGCAGCAAAATCAAGAAGGGAAATTATGACCTTGCCTGAAAGGCATCAACAAAATCACTGGAAAGAAAGGGGTAGGATGCTTTCGTTTTATTTGTCGAAGAAACTGATGAGTGTCAATAATACTGACAGTAATATGGAAGGAGGCATAATTACGAATGGCAGAGGGAAATTTAGACTGAAAGTTTGGAACTCCCACAGAAAACACACACACTCCTTTCTGCACAGAGAGGGGCATTTGATGGGAACTTCCCCAAGGGAGAGGTGAGGACACTATTGTTCAAGTCATTTAAGACAAACTGGAGGATGAAAGAGCAGTCATTGCTTAGAGTTTGTGGAATGTCAGCAGTGTAGTTAGATATAGGACAAAAGCCTGTCCAGCCCCCAGGTTACAGTCCATGGGCTGAGATGACACAATGGAGCCCATTATCTGTCACCTCTCCGAGATAGTAGGATCTTTGGTCTGGTTTTCAGGCCCTTAGTAGTGATAGAAGCTTCTGAGGCTAAGGTGCAAGGAACAGAAGAATGGCAAGGGTTCCCACTGGAATAGGGAGAGGCTGCCTAGTGGAAAGAAAGACAAAAGCAAGCTGGGCACACAAAAAGGAAGACTGAGGAGTCGGAGAAGCAAGGAAAAGGGGAAAAGTTAGAAGTCCAGAGAAATTTAGCAATCCAGAGCCCTGGATTTTATGAGCACCCAGTGGGCAAAGGGTAAGGAAAATTGCCCACACAGGCCTGCACTGGGCAAGGACGGTAGACCTGGTGAATGAGGTGCGCACTGCTGAGCAGAGAAGAGGCAGAGTTTAATTTGGCTCTGGGTCTGCTCATTCCCTTCTCTTCAGTCTTTGATTTGATGGTATTTCTGACTTCATCACTGACTTTTCTTCTTTCTAATCGTCTTAGGTGAGACATTGCTTATCTTCCTAGATATATCCTCCAAAGCAGTCAGTTCAATTCAGTCAATACTTACTGAGTCAAAGCAAAACTACAACTGCAGACCCTTGGAGATGGCAGAGGTCATTGTGAAACAGGAATTTTGGGAGGTGAAAAAGACGGGTTTTAGGAAATTTGAGAAATTTTGGAAATTAAGGGGACCATGGAGGAAGCCCAGGGCTGCAGAGCAACAGAAGGTACATTTCCATAGAATAGGGGAGCTGAAAAGCTGCAACAAGTACATTTCCATAGAATGAGGGAGCTGGGAACAGCAAAAGGTCTATATTTACAAAATAAAGAGAAGGAAGCCCTTCATCCAGAAGGAGAAAAAGAAAGCCCAAAGGGACTAGGAAAACAATAAAGAAGGAGGGGGAGGAGGGGAACCTCACATGTCCTATGTGAGGTTCAATCTTTGAGTCCAGGAGTTACTATAGTAACCAGTCCAAGGGAATAGTGACCAATTAGAAGGGATATCAAGGCACCAGGATCTGCAGTCTTTATAAGCCATAGGGAAAAAGAACTCAGTGGGACCTTTTCCCTCTCCCTACTTGGGAGTCCGTTCTGTGGGAGTCTGTACTTGTTCTTCAATAAATTTCCACCTTTGCTATACCATTTTCTGTCTGTGGGTTCATTCTTCAAATACCACTTTCTGTCCATGGGTTCATTCTTTGATTCCAGTAGAAAAAGAATCCGAGTTCCAGTCCAAAAATTCCATTTCAATTGCATCTAAACTCGTCTTCACCTAAGAATTGCCTAGTTCCTGCCTGAACACATCAAGTGATGGGGAACTCACTATCATCCAAGGAAAACTATTCTGTCTTCAGAGACCTCTATTAGAAAAATATTCTCCATGCTGGGCCAAAATATCCCTACATAAGATAAATCCTATTCATTGACCGTACATCGATATCTTGAGGTTTTAGGAGCTAACGCAACAGCTCTTCCCCCCGACAGCTCTTAGGATATTGGAAGCTGTCATATTCCCTTGAGTATAAATGTATCTAAGCTGGACATCACCAGTTCCTTTGATTGTTCCAAATATAACAGGGTTAAGTCCCTTTTGAGGTTGGCCACTCTCTCTTGAGTGTGGTCAAATTAATCTTAAAGTGTGTGGTCTTAATCCAGGTATGGTTTAACTATCTCAAAGTAGAGCAGGAGAACTCTCACCCCTTTCTTTGGGGCTCCATTCTCTATTAATATACCTTGCACTTTCATTGACTTTTGCAGCATCTCCCTATTGACTCACATTGGTAGCTTATCGTCAACTTTAGCTTGTACTTTTTAAGAAAATTGTGGCCACATCTTCCTCATCCTGTTGCAAATTTGTTCTCTATGCTCATATGTGGGGCCTTGGTTGTACCCATATTACACTTCATTTTGTTAAAATTTCCCCCTAATTTTAGCACACAAAATTACTTTGGAATACAGATAGTATATTCCATGTTGCTAAGCTTTAATCAGTAAAACAGGGGCTTCTTATTTCTGCTTTAAGATCCATCACAACTTGATGATATATCCAAGAGAAACGCAAAAGCAACCTTTTCAAAGCACTAAAGAATTACATATGTACTGATGGTCTCTTGAGGGGGAATCAAAAGAAAGCATTGCATCATACACTCTTAAAGCCTTCCTGAAAACCTCTTTTGGTGACTGATGCTCATGTCCCTCCAGGGTCCCCATCCTCACGGCCTTCCCTCTACATGGCAGCTCTCCTCACTTACCCTCCCCTCCCAGGCTGCTGTTCCATTCTTCTTCCCATTACTGAATCCTTTTCTTTCTGGAGAGCTCCATACATTTTCAAATGTAGGTCAGTTAAGCTTCTCTCACATTTTTTCAGCCCTCATCATGATGCTCCAAGTCAACAAACACCAAATGACTTATCAACACCAAGTATGCCCAATACTAAGCAAATGTTTCTTTCTCCTTAGAAAGGAGGAGGATTGTCAATGCATATGTTTAATATTTTTTTGTTTATTGTAGTCATAGACAAATTTGATGACCATGCCTCCACCATCTTTATCCAAGTTATTAGTAAATCTGTTGAACAGGATTAGTTTGAGAACAGAGCGCTCATACATATTCCAAGAAAACTTCCTCCAGGTTGTCTTTCGTTCATTAACGAACACCTCTGGGGTTTAGCTATTAAGTCAGTTAATCCATCCAGCCCACATTGCTCCATGTTCTACAAGGGTTTTATTAAAGCGTCTATCAAAAGCCTTGATGTGATTCAGATATTCTCTTATGTTTCCTTGATCTAAAAGCCTCCCCACCTTGAGTTATGGAACCAGGACAGCCTGGCAGGGTTAGTCCTTTGAGATCCCAGGCCTCTTCCTAGTGATCACCATGTCATTTTCTAAATAATCACGTGTCTACTTTTTAACTGAACCAATGGACAATATCTGGGCCAAACTCATTTGTATTTTTCAGAACTTACATTATTTTCATTTTTTGCAAAACACGTTTGGCATTTACCTGTCTCTAGTCTTTCTTCACCTCTCCCTGCAGAGTTCTTAATGATATTCATAACTCAAAATGAAGCTTTCGCCGTTAATATCTAAGTGTTTCTTGGCATCATCATATTTTTAGCCTGTACCATTTGTAGGTGTTAATGACCCCAGTGTAGAATAATACTGCCTTTGACTTGGTCTAAAGCTTTAGCGTGGAAAGGGTGTTCTGGGTCATCCTGGGAACCTCCCCCCCCCCCCCCCCAATCAGTTAGTGCCAAGTAGGATGCTGGCTGGTCTAGGAAGTGAGAGAGGAGGACTCATTCTCTGGATGCTTACCCCATCACGCCAGCTGTGTGACCTTCATGGCAGCCTACGATGAGGAGCAGGATGGAGCAGATAGTTGGAGACTAGAACAAAGGCAAGCTTGAATGTGATACAGATGGGGTGGGGGAGTGGTTGGCTGGATTCGAGAGGAGAGAGAGCATGGAGCACTAGTGATATGATGAAAATGCTTTTAGCAGCAGCATTTTTTTATTTCTTTTTAACTAGCTTTAAAAAATGGAGCATGTAATACTTGCACATGGTAAAATGTCGAAAGGAACAAAGGATATACAATAACACAACGAAATATATATCACGTTGGCTCCCACTCTGAGGTGGCTGGTGTAAAGTTTTTTATGTATCCTTCCACAATGTTCTATGTATATATAAGCTTATCTAGATATGCACACTATTCTCTATATTCAAATATATGCAAATATATACACAGATGCACCATGATGCACTTTGTTGTTTTTTTGTTGTTGTTGTTTTTTCCAGGGCATAGATTACATAGATTTAGTTCATTTGTGTAAGATCTGCCCCATATTCTATTATATGGGTATACCATAATTTTAACAGCAGTGCGTTGAGGGAATGAAAATAGAGTTGTTGCCAGGGTATTAATCTCAAGTTTGAAGTGGAAGGAGTAAACGACAGTTGTTAAAAGATTTCCATTTCGGACTC